CCCTATACCACCCCTATACCCCCCCTTTACCCCCCCAATCCCCAAAAGTTTCTCAGCGGATTTGGGCTGTACTCAGCAAGCGCAGTATTTGGGCTGTACTCAGCAAGCGCAGTACAGCCCCCAACTCAGATTTGAAAACAAATCAGTGGATGGCTGTTTTCTGACTGGCCGGCTGCAAAACAGTCAGCGGTCAGGGTCGGGGGTCCGTAGGTATGCAACCCTGACCTACACCGCATTCTTTGGAGACCGGGCGCCAGAGGACCAAAATGGCTGGTGGCGCCAGCCAAAACAAAAGTAAAAAAGGTGCTGCTGGTGCTTCGGCAAAGCTTGGAGCGCAGTTGTACTTCGCCTCGGCGAGAAGAGGCTCGGAGGTAGTGGTGGTTTAAGTAGATTTGTGTGGTATGAAGTCCCTGTTAGAAAACAGTTATGGGTTGAAGAATCTATTCTCAGGAAGGCACCACAAGCTTACAGCCAAGATAACAAAAGTCGTCAAGCCAAGAGTCAGTCTGTTTAACCAAGCAGCCAGATCCAAAATCCGTAAACTTCCGGAAAGGCAAGGGAACCAACCCATAACCAGCAGAGGAAGTCTGAAAGGCGGATCAGCAAGTACAAAGGTCGAGAAACACTTGAACGTCAACACATATGCTTCGCACTCAATGCGGAAGCGCTGCTGCGGTCTTGTGCGCTGCAGAGGCAAGTGAGCAAGTGAGAGTGAGCATAGGGTATGTACTATGTAGTCAATGACGCTGGGCGCCATAGCCATAGCTGTACTATGAGAGAAAGAGAGAGGGAGACGAAGACAGTTCGGAAGATCAGAGAGAGAGAGAGAGAGAGAGAGAGAGAGAGATTGTGTGTTGCAGAGGCAAGTGAGCAAGTGAGAGTCACATCACACCACACACACATGAGATACGGAGGAGGTACGGAGCCCAAAAATAGTTTCATGGAACACTCGAACACAAGTCTCACATCACATCACATCACACATGAGGTATGGAGGAGGTATGAAGCCCAAAAATAATACCCTCAGTAGCCAATACCAAGCTTAGTTGTCCTCTTCGTCACCTCCAGCTATGGCCACCCAACTCAACGTGCAGGAAGGTCTCTCTCTCTCTCTCTCTCTCTCTCTCTCTCTCTCTCTCTCTC